GGCGGGTGGGAGTCCCCCTGAGACGGGCCTCGGCCCCGCCCCGCCCCCAGCCGCAGGCCCCGCCCCTCCGGACAGGTAGGAGCCCCGCTGGGGCCAGACTCCCGCCGCCCGCCCTGACAGCCCGGACCCCGCGCAAAGGGGGGCCCTGCCTGTCCCGAGCCTTCCCGCTGGCTGGGTCGCCCGCAGGCCCAGCCAGCCCGCCCCCGGCCCAAGCCTCCCGGCTCACTTCCTCCTCCCAGCCCCTTCCGGGCGCGGGCGGCGGGGCGGGGGGGAGCCACCGCTTCAACCTGCCAGCCGCACGTCCCAGCGTCACGCGGGCTGCCTCTGACCCGGGCGATGCCTGGCGGGCTGCGCCACAGGGAGCAGGCGGAGAGGTGGCCGCACCCACCGGCGAAGGCAGAGGCACCCTGGAACGCTCCGCGTCTCCTCGGAGCTTCCAGACGGAGGATCGCACAGCTGGCAACAGGGACTTCTCCCAGAGGTGCGGGCAGGCTGGTTCTTGAAGGGTTTCAAGGCCCAGGGCTTTCACCGGCCTACGCGATGGCTACCCCACAAGGGAGCAAGGCGTCCTTGGACGCCGGTACCCGCTCTAGGGTTGGGGCAGGCCCGGCCCCCACTTCCTCCTCTGGCCCAAGCAGCCCTCTGCTCACAGCACCGACTCTGGAGGACACAAGCCGAGTTTCCTAGAAAACCCAGAATGCAAGAGCGTGCCCCAGCCCCAGCACCTGACCCTGGTGGGGGAGGGGCAGGGGCTCTCCCAGGTCCTCCTCCCGGACCCCTCCCTGCACTACCCGGACATTTTGGAAGTGGGGAAGGGTGGCATGCGTGCGGTTTCAGAACCCAGAAACTTTTGGGCAGCACTCCCGCCAGCAAACCTGCTTCCCACCCTCTTTTGTGGACGAGACTTAAAGCAAGGTCCGCACCATATCCCCCCCGCCTGTCAGGGCCTTAGTGATTGTGTCAGCCACTGTGGTCAGGCACCACACTCACGGCAGTGTGCGTGGCCAGCTGTTGACAGAAAACGCTTCTCCGGGTGCCAGCTGGCCCCGAGCTCCGCCCATCCCGCCCACACCCTCCAGCCTCCCAGAGCAGCACCCCGAGCCCTGGGGGAGGAGCCAGGAGCCTGTCTTTCTTCCCAGCAGCCCACAGGGCTCCGGGTGCCATGCCCCCACGTCGGTGCCACCCTCCCACCTCCCACAGGACACACACCAGTAGGTTTTATGGTTTTTTTTTTTAATTTAATTTATTTTTTTAAAGTGAACTCTCCAGCCGCGGACATGGGGCTTGAACTCAACCTGTTATCAAGAGTCCCGTGTTCCACGCCCGGAGTCAGCCAGGCGACCCCCGGTGGTCGTTTTATACAGAAATATTCCACCACACCTGGGCCTGGGTCTGGCAGAGGCTTCAAGTCTTGTGGAGGGTCCCTGAGGTCTGCATGGCGTCCCGGCCTCCAGCTCTGAGGAGGGGCGCCACCTCCCCGTCCTCTGCAGCACAGCTGCTGTCTGGGGCAGTGCCAGTGGCCCCAGAGGGTGAGGCCAGGGAGCCCTGTGACAGGGTGCCCGGCAGCCCCATGCCGTCCAACGCGGCACCCACCGGGGGGCGTGCCCCTGACTGCCCGGGTGGCCCAAACGGCCACTCCAAGGAGCCCAACTTGGCCCCAGCAAGTGGCCTGGCCCAGAGCCCGGTGGCTACCCCTCACGCCCCAGTGAGCATGGAGCCACGGCCACCACACCCATCACCCCTGTCCCGGTGAAGTGGCCCTTCTCCCAGCTGCGGCTGGGGTCCCCTTGGGGAAGGTGGTCAAGCAGCTGCCTTGGGCAGGCCGTCCGGGCCCAGGAGGTGAGCGTGAGGGTCATCCAGGACTTGGGGCCCAGGGCCCACCTGTCAGGTCGGGGCAACGAGAGGAGCATGTAAGTGCAGGTCAGAAGCTAGTCGTCCGCGTGGTAACGGCCTGCCCCGTGCCCACTGTGGGCACCCTGTCACTTGACCTCCATCACCCAGACCTAGGGTGGATGGCGCGTGCAAAGTGGAAGGAAGGTAGAGACCGCGGCCTGGGTGGTCAGGTCACGGGACTCTGACTCAGGCAGATCTGAGAGGAAGGCCGGCTCAGGCACTCTGACCTGGTCCCACGTGGCGGGCCCCACGGGTCCCCAGCCCTTGTCTGTCTCCCTAAGTCTCCCCACTCAGCATCGGGACTAGTGCTCCCAGTGTGTTCCCAAGTGCTCCCCTCACATGGTGGGGGGGGTCCTCAAACATCCACTATGAGAGTGAGTGAGTGCACAGGACAAGCCCCACTGTACCAAACGCTCTGAAAACAGAAAAGCAGCATCTCTGTTACTACCAGCAAGCCGGCCTCCTGCCCGGAACAGAGCAGGGCCAAGGGGGCCCCTCCGCCCGGCTCCCCTCGGTGAGCAGGGCGGCCGGTCCTCACCTGGGTGGCAATGATGTACGTGACGCCGCCGGGGGTGGGATCCACATCCAGCGCGGCCCTCAGCTCATCAGAGAGTGAGGCAGGCCCCACGGGCAGCCCCTTCAGAAACCTGGGGAGACAGGCCGCGTGTCCTGGGCTCCTGACAGCAGCCTCAACACAGCTGACGGGAAGCCCATGAGTGGCTGCCGAGGCCGGGGGGGGGGGGGGAGGCTGGCACTGCGGGGGTGGACAGGTCTGCTCTGGGGGACACACAGGCTCGGGAACCCAATGGGGTGCTGCTTGCACAGGAGTGTGGGTAAAGCCACTGGTTGTGCCCTTCAAGGCTGCTGACACGGTGAGTGAGGCATGATGTGTAATTGGCCTCACACACAGAGCCGAGCACGGATGTGCAAGAGCCCGGCTGGGGTGATCGGGAAGGGGCGACGAAGCTTAAGACGGAAACGCCTCAGTCCGAGCGAGAGTCCCTGGCCATTTCCCCAGAACAGCCAATGCCTGCAAACCACCCACAGGGTGACAAGGCGGTGAGTTCAGAGCCTCCCACAAGGACACCAGCTGCCTGGGGGCCGTCCTTGGTCGTGCGTTCTGTTCACCTGGCAAGGAAGTCAATCTTCTGGCCCCAATTACAGTGACAGAGAAACAACCCCACAGACTCCCCGCACGGAGAGAGGGGTCCGCTGGGAGAAATGCAAAGAGCCTGTCGCCCCCTAAAGGCCAGGGCCCTGCCCCACGGGAGCCATGCTGTGCGCGTGGCCACAGGGCTGTGACATGCGTGAGAAGCCCCTGTGGTCACAGGGAGGTGCACCCAGTCCCTGGAGAGATCGACGCCACGGGACCCCCACTCAGCACCACGGCCTCGGGCGCCACCGTCCCCAACCTCAGCAGGAGACCCTGCCCTCTGTGGCCTCCCAGATGCGGGGCCCCCCAACTCACTTGTCTCCGTTGGACTCGGGGGGAAAGCAGTGCCTCACAGCAGCCACAAACTCAGGCACGGTGTCGTTCAGGGTAAAGACCACGGCGTTGGGGCCCGCGTCAAACGTGTATGCCACCTGCAACCCACGCAGTCAGCACTGAGTGTCTAGGAGAGGCCGCCCGGCTCACGCCTGTCACCCGGCGGGGACACGCGCGGGCCCCCAGCGGCCCCCAGACGCGCGGTCGCAGGCAGGCCTCCAGAGCCCCCGCCCGCGTGCCTTGGTCTGCCCGTGGTGGGCGTTGAAGCAGTGCACGAGGCGGACGATGCGTCTGGAGATGTCGTTGAGGTAGGAGATGGGCGGGAAGGTGTCCAGGCAGGTGGCGTGGAACTGGTTGCTGTCCTTCATGGTCAGCTGGCCGAAAGCCTGGAAGTCCCGCTCCTGGATGCAGCGGGTCATCTCTGCCATGCGCGCCGGCACCACCGACTCGGCCCGGAACTGCAACACAGGAGCTTTTGCAGCAGGCGCGGCGTCCAGGGCACGGGCCCCACGGTGTGGCCGGGGCACCGAGCAGAGCAGCCAAGGCGTGACATGCGACATGCAGGACAGGCCCCGGGCAGCCGCTCGTTGGACCCCCGACCCCCACCCCCAGCGCCAGCCTCACCCTGAGCAGGGGGCTGGTCTCCACGCTGGTCTGCATGCCCACCGTGCTGCCTGTCAGCTTCCGCTCCGCGCTCACCTGCCCGAGACAAACAGCCTGGCCCCCACCCTGCAACACCCTCCCGCCCCTCCCCTGGGCTGGTGTGGGAAGCGGGAGAGCAGTGCTCCCGACTGCAGAGGTCACCTCCCCGGGCAGAGAGAGCATAGTCCTGGTACCGGCAGCCCAGGAGCGGCGGGGAAGCCACTCGACGCTCCACCCCCCCAGCCCCCCCCCCCCCCCCCCCCCCCCCCCCCCCCCCCCCCGCCTTGCTCACCACGAGTATGAGGACTCGGAGTTCCGGCCAGTGGCACTCGGGGGCCACCTGCCGGGCGATGCTGTCCTTCCCGTCGGGCCGCTCCCCCATCTGCCACTCCACAAAGCCGCCGAACAGGCTCCGACAGGCGCTGCCCGAGCCCCGGCGAGCCACTTCCGAGAGGTCGCTGTCAACCCCATAGACCCGGGCCAGGGCGTAGGCTGCAGGCACAGGGTGAAGGACACAGGGTGCTCAGACGCGCAGGGGTGGGGGTGGGGGGAAGGCTTTGAAAACCGTGTGGAGCAGAGACCAAGGCAGAGGGAGCTGAGAATGTGCATCAGGGAGGCAGCTGGCCGGGCTGGGCGGCAGCTGGCGGGGTTGGGTCTGGCCGAGGGTCTGACGCCAGGATGCAGAGCTGGGGGTTCCTGGCCTCGCCCGTCACCGAGGGCGGCCGGAGCAGAGCCCACGAGCCGGCTGAGCAGGTGAGCGTCCGCGCCGACGTTCCTTCTAGGTCACAAGTGGCGAGCCCAGCGCCCGCACTGCGGTGCCCAGCTTGGCGCCGGGTGGGGAGGGCGTGCCGGAGACCGGGCCGGCGCGGGGAAAGCGGCGCAGGGGTCCGGAAGGAGGGAGCCTGTGGAGCACGCGGAGCCTGCCACGGCCCTGGCGCCCTGCTGGGTTAGCGGAGATGCCAGCCCATCTTGGGCTTGAGCCAGTGTGAGGTGGGGCTCGGTGGCACACGACCTAGAAGGGCCTCTACGCGGAGCCCCAGGGAGACGGTGCGGCGGGGCTCCCTGTAGGCGGCGGGAGGGTGAAGGGCCGGCTGCCGCCGCGGGGCTCCCTGCGGGCACCCACCTAGGCAGGCGTAACCAGCCGCGGAGGAGGCCAGGCCCGCGGCTGTGGGGAAGTTGTTCACCGATGCGATGTGAACCTTGTAGCTGAGGCTGAGGGGCGGCGGGTCCTCGTCGCCGGAGCTCCTCCGCTTCCGGGCCAGGCGGCGGACTGCAGGGAGAGGGGACACGGCCACTGGGCAGGCGGCCCCGACCGGCTCCTGGTCTCTCACCTGCCCGGAGTCAGGGAGAGGGAGCGGCGCAGCCGAAAGCCGGCCCCAGCCCCGTTCCCCAGGGTGTGTGCGTGCGCGCTGACCCTACAGAGAGAGGAGGGGACAGAGGGGAAGGAAGGGCAGGGCCCAGCGTGGCGCGCACCCCGGGGCCACTCACTCTCCCTGAGGCAGGCCTGCAGGCGTGGCTGGCCTATGTCCTCCTCCCGGCCATTCAGCCAAATCCGGTCCTCGGTGAACTCCTTGCTGATGGCGGCCGTGGTGGTGGTTTTTAACTGGGAAAGGAAACACGGGGCCGCCTCAGGCATGGGGGAGGGCGGAGCACACCTGTCCTCGGGGAGGCCTTTCCTTGGGCCCGTCATGGTCTCCCACTCGGGGGCAGGGCCGGCCGGGCAGTGAGGAAGCCCCAAGCCAGGTGGCCGGCTCGGCGCCAGGCCTGGACCCCAGAGAGGAGCGCGGAGCGCCCTGTGCGCAAGGAGCGGTCCTAACAGGGGCCCGTGGAGCCGTCCCTGGGCCGGGAACTTATTGCTACAATTGTTAAGACAAAAGTTGGACGAGAGCGTAATGACTACTTACTTCAACCCGTACTAACCTGGTCCTGGTGCAAGGTGACGCTCAGAGAGGAGTTGATGGGCAGGACCAGGTCCTCATCTCGCTTGCCCCCTGGAACAGACAACCCACGGCCAGTCCATTTCCCAGCTCCGCAAGCCAGCCCACTGTGCCCTCGCTCCTCCCCACCAGGGCTCCCTCCCAGCCCACTGCTCCCCCATCTACCCAGAGCCTGCTGCCTCACTGTGCAGCCTAAGTCCTCTTCCTCCTGTGCCCTCGCCTTCAGGAAGTCCTCCCGGATTTCTCCCCCACTTCACCGGGCTCCCAGTCTCAGAGCAGAGCTGGAGGCCAGTCCATATCCTGCTTCATTGCTTGTCTTATCTTCCTTCATTCATTGAACAAATTACCCCAGCATTGCCTTCCAGGCCCTGAGCGGTAAGGCGGTCACCTCCCAAACAAGAGGAACCCTGGTCCCTGAAAACCCCTCTGATCCCTCCGCCCTTACTCCCTGGAGACGCTCAGATCGGCCCCCACTCCTGGCACGGCAGCGGCAGGGCCTCTGTGAAGCACCCATGTCGCAGGGCACTTGTGTGGGGTCTGGGGCCGGCGGACCGTTACAGGAGGCGCTAATGACAACCCCTGGCGGGGGCTCCCGGACAGCCCGGAAAGACCCACTTCAACTCGCCCAATGGACTTGACGGAGGCGCAAGAGCCGTTCAAGAGAGGAGCGGGCAGACGTCCACAGCCCAAAACATGGACCCAAGTTTCACACCTTATGCAAAAAAGCAATTAAAAATGGAGGCTTGAATTTCAAACGAAAGACTACAAAACTTTCAGAAGATCTTCAGGTCGGAGGGCCGAGCAGGGGAGTCTCACACTTGACACCAAGCGCACGAGCTGGGAATGGAAAAACTGCCACCCTGGGCTTCCCCCGCTGCTTGAACTACAGCCCTCTGAAAGACCCCGTTAGGCGGATGGAAGGATAAGCCACAGAACAGAAGAAAATATCTGCAAACATCCGACCATGGATTAGTACGCAGCCGACAACAGATAAGTATGCAGAGGACACAGCAAATTCTCAAAACTTGACGGTAAAAAAGTACACAATCCAATTAGAATACGAACACGTAATGCGGGCAGGCGATTCACCGAAGAGATAACAAACAGGCACGGGAAACAGTGTCCGGTGTCATTGGCCAGTAAAAAATCATAAAGTAAACCCGCAGTCAGCGGTCACCTGCCAATCAGAATGGGTGAAATAAAAACCACTGAGGACACCAGAGGCCAAAAAGCTGCAGCGATCGCATGCATGTCGCTGGTGGGAATGTAAAGTGGAGCAGCCACTCACGTAAAGTTCAACAGTTCGTTTCTTTTTACACTTATTCATTTTTGAGTGACAGAGAGAAAGTGTGAGCAGGGGAGGGGCAGACAGAGAGGGAGACACAGAATCTGAATCAGGCTCCAGGCTCCGAGCTGTCAGCAGAGAATCCAATGCGGGGCTCGAGCCCACAAACCGTGAGATCATGACCTGAGCTGAAGTCAGACACTTAACCGACTGAGGCACCCAGGCGCCCCTAGTTCAACAGTTTCTTTAAAAACCTGAAACGCAACTACTCAGTGTTGTGTCCAGTGACATTCCTGGATGCTCTTCCCCAAAGAATGAAAACCTGCGCTCACACGACTACCTGGACGCAAACCTTTAGAGCAGCTTCATCCACAACACACTGAAACAGCTACCTCTCGGGGGTGTCTGGCTAAGCAGAGCGTGGGATGCCCACACCGGGGACCAGGACTCAGCACTAAGGGTGTAAGATGCAAGCAAGCGCCCCCGGGAATCTCCAGAATCACAGAGAGTGACGAAGGCCACTCCCAAGGCTACCTGTGCAAGAACTCCGTGAGCTGAGCAGTCTTGAAAGACAACATGACAGACCTGGAGAGCAGGCTCTAGGTGGCCGGTGTCCAGGACTGTGGGAGCCCAGCCCCATGGACGCTGTCCCCCGTCCCACCCCCGCGGGGTGAAACCTCCCCCTGTGGGCCCGGCTCCCTGTTCCTCCACCTGGGTGTGGACTCCCCCGTGGGCCCTGTCCCCCATCCTGCCCCCGGGGGGTGGACCCCCCCACTGCCACGGACCCTGTCTCCCGTTCTGCTCCCCAGGGGGTGGATGTCCTGCATGGACCCTGTCCCCCATCCTGTCCCCTGGGGGTGGACGTCCCGCGTGGACCCTGTCCCCCATCCTGTCCCCTGGGGGTGGACGTCCCGCGTGGACCCTGTCCCCCATCCTGTCCCCTGGGGGTGGACGGCCCCTGCGGACCCTGTCCCCCTTTCCTCCTCCCCGGGGGGTGGACGGCCCCCGCGGACCTGTCCCCCGTCCCTTCACCCGGGCGTGGACCTCCCGCGCGGACCCTGTGCCCTATGCGGGCCCCGGGGATGGACGCCCCCCGTGGACCGTGTCCCGCGCCTTGGCCGCGCACTCACAGTACTTGATGACCGCGATGTTGACCGGCGCGGTGCAGGTGACGACCACCAGCGGCTTCTCGGAAGCCATGGCCCAGAGACACTGCAAACGGAGCCGGCAGCCGGCAGCCCGCCGGGCCTGCACTTCACCTGCCGCGCGACTGGCCAGCAGCGAAGCTGTCCGCGCTCCGTCCAATCAGCGGTGGGCCCAACCACCGCTCCACTTCTCAGCCAATGAGCGGGATCGGACGACGGACTGCTGACTCTGGGCCCGCCCCCGTCGGTCGGCGGCCTCGCACCGCCTTTGCGCAGGCGCAAGGGTCTACCCAGCTACGTAGCTCTGGGACTGCGCAGGCGCAGAGGTTTGCGCAGGCGCGTGGCGTCGGACTTTCCTCGAGCGGGCTTGGATGCGAGGTGAACCCGAAAGTTCCCGCGGGTCGACGCGGTAGGGGGCCGCACCCCGAGAGATTGTACGCCCAGGCTGGGCTCAGGGTGTCCGGGAGCTCAGACTCCCTCAGCAGCTCCAGACGAAAGGCGGGGTGACCGCGTCAGGGATGCCGCCGGGGCTGAAGGGCAAGCCCCGGGGTCCCCCTCACCCTGCTCCCGGGACAGGTCCTCCCCACGCCCCGCACCCCGAGACAGGTCCTCCCCGCGCCTCCCCGCCTGGGGTTCCCCGCACCCAGGGACAGGTCCTCCCCTCGTCTCATCCCCCGCCCTGGCGTCCCCATAGGGTCTACACCCGCACCTCCGGTGCTGGCCGGGCCCCCTGGGCTGGGCCGCTAAGGGATGAATTGCTTTAGAGCTCGGCTCCTTCAAACCTCTCCTTTTTCTGACCTCTAGATAAGCTGGGGTCCTTTTTTCACTGTGAACGCGGATTGTCAGATCTCTGCACATGCACTTTTTTTATTGTAAAATATTCATAACGTAAAACTTACCACTTTAACCATTCTCAGTTGTGCGATTCTGTGGAATCTGTGCATTAAATGTATTCCCACTTTACAGCCATCGCCACCATACAGCAGCAGAACGTCGTTATCCTAAATTGAAGGCCTCCACTGTTAAACACTAACTCCCAGCTTCCCTCTTCCCTTTGTAAACGTTTATTTAAAATTTTTTCTTAAATCTTTTATTAATTTTTGAAAAAGAGTGTGAGCCAAGGAGGGGCAGAGAGAGAGGGAGACACAGAATCTGAAGCAGCTCCAGGCTCTGAGCTGTCAGCACAGAGCCCGACGCGGGGCTCGAACCCATGAACCATGAGATCATGACCTGAGCTGAAGTCAGATGCTTCACCGACTGAGTCCCCCGGGCGCCCCAGTAAATGTTCATTTTCCCTTTAAAACGGCCCAGTCTTAAGTCGAGTTTGAGTATGCGCGGTGAACTCTCCCAACCCCGGCCGGCCACCCGGTCCTCTTCTCAGAAGTGTTAGTGTGACCCTGTGCCGCGTGTCCAGGAACCATTTCTGCTTGACAACACGCAGAGACCTCTTTCCACTCGGGGGCCTCGTGGAGATCATCCCACTTCAGTACAGAGTGCTTCCTGTCCTGCTGTCCACGTGTGCCTTCATCTTTCCTCCCGTCCCCTGCTGGTGCACAATTAGCTTGTTACCAATTTTTTTAATAGTATAAACTGCTTTTGTGTGTTAGTGTTTGCGTAGGAGGAGTTTCAGGAATTGTAACCACCTGGCCAAGTAGAGTGTGTCACGTGATAGTGCTAGCCTTTGGCAAGTTCCTGGCAGGAAGTTGAACCCGCCCTCAAAGGCTGTGGCTCCCAAAGTGTGCGAGCGTGTGCACCCTCTCCAGCACGCGCAGCCCGTCAGACTGAAGGTGAAAAATTGAATCTAGCTGTTGTTTTTTTTAGTTTTCTTGCTATCGTGTTTCCGTTTCATGCAAAACAGCTGAAATTTGTTTTGAAAGACGGGCTCTAGACCGTTCCTAGCAACAGTCACAGTTATTCTCAGCAGACAGGTCACCAGTGAGCCTCAGTGAGTTCTGTTCTGCTGTGGTACGGCGGGAAGGACAGCAGTGACATTTATTAAGTCTGCAGTGCACCCCCTCCCCCAAATTCCTCTGTGGAACCCAGTCCCCAGTCTGATGGAGTCAGGAGGTCAGGAGGGTGGAGCCTCATGGTGGGATTGGAGCCTTGCCCCTTCTGCCCCGCGGGGACACAGCAAGAAGGCAGCGGTCTGGGCCCCTGCCTCGGAGCCCCGGCCTCCGGGACTTAGAAGCGGCGGGTGTTTGTAGGCCCCTGAGCCTGTGGTTTCCTCCCGGCAGCCTGGACGAGCTGACATTGTGTCATGTACACGTGATTTCAAAGTCAACTACCAGACTGCTTCTCCACTCACCCGCCTCCGGGTTTGGCTCACCAAAGGCAGCTCCTTTCCAGTCTTCTGTCTTTCCCTCTGTATTTCTTTTTTTTTAATATGTAATTTTATTGATTTATTTTAGAGAGTATGAGTCAGGGAAGAGGGCCAGAGGGCAAGAGAGAGAATCCCAAGCAGGCCCCATGCTCAGCAAGGAGCCCCGCGCGGGGCTCAGTCTCACAGCCCAAGGATCATGACCTGAGCCGAAATCAAGAGCCGGATGATGCTCAGGACGCCTGGGGAGCTCAGTTGGCTGAGCGTCCGACTGCAGCTCAGGTCATGATCTCAAGGTTCGTGAGTTTTGGCCCCAAGTCGGGCTCTGTGCTGACACCTCAGAGCCTGGAGCCTGCTTCGGATTCTGTGTCTCTCTCCCTGCGCCTCCCCCATGTCTGAAAAATAAATAAACATTAAAAAAAATTTTTTTTAAGTCAGATGTTCAACTAACAGAGCCACCTAGGCTCCCCTGTTTTCTTCTGTGTCTCTAACAACGTGCTTATATTCTTTCTTTCTTGATTTCTTTCTTTTTGTTAAGTTTATTTATTTATTTTGAGAGAGAGAGCAGGGGAGGGGCAAAGAGAGAGAATCCCAACCAGTCTGCAGTGACAGCCCCAGAGCCTAATGAGGGGCTCGATCCCACGAGCCATGAGATCATGACCCGAACCAAGATCTAGTGGGATGTTCAACTGACGGAGCCACCCAGGCTACCCTCTTTCTTTTTTTGATTTATTTTTTTATTTTTTCAGTTTTAGATAGATTCTATTGATTACCACTGAGTAGGAATAAGGGATTCTCTTCCCGCCGCATTCCTTCCTCGCCCGCGCTCCCTGCGTGGTCAGATGGGTCTTCCTGTGGTTTCGTTACTACGATTATGTGAACCGAATTCCATTCTGGGCGCAGATGTCTGACCACATGCTTGTGGGCAGGGGCCCCCTTATCTAATGAGAGCCTTGAATGAACAACCCCCTAGACGAGAGCTGGACCCACATCCCACGGCAGCACCTCCCGCCCAGGCCCCACCCACATGTATAAAATCAACTCATCATAGGGCCAAGTGAATGCAATAAGTACTTTTCTCCGTTCTCAGTTTTTTGTCACATACGTTGTGGGGTTAATGCCTGCCGGGTCCCAGGAAGGAGGATAGACCCACGGTCATGTGGGTCATGTTATTCTGATCGGATTTTGTTTCAAAGACATGTGTGGAAAACAGGGCGCGAAGCTTGACGTTTCTAGGCGAGGCAGCAGGGGTGAAGACCTCCCACAGGCCCAGCGCGTCCTCCACGATTCTCCTCAGATTTCCTTCTCTGTTTTAAAGCCTATTTTAAAAGCCTGTGCAGGAATACACGTAACATAAAGTTCACCGTCTTCACCACTTGCCGGTCCGCGCAGGGGTGCCAGGTTCGTCACACTGTAAGCAGGCGTCACCGCCACCTCCCATTCACAGACTCGTCCGTCCTCCCCAAGGGGAGCCCTGTCCCCATGAGACCCACTCCCCGCAGCGCCTGAGCCCCTGGCACCCCGTCTGCTGTCCGTCTCCACGGACCCAGCTCTTCAAGGACCTCTGCGCGGGGTCCTAAGTGCCCCGTGGTGACCGCTCCTCTCTCCGCAGGGCGTCCTCGGGGCTCGTCTGAGCAGGTGTTACCCCTTCCCTCCTGTCTTCAGCTTGAATAACCTCCATCGCGTGGACAGACCACACGGTTTCGTGGGTTCATGGCCCCCCGTGGGGCGCTTGGCTTGCTTCCCCCTCCGGGCTGTTGGGGGTGAGGCGGCGGGCACACGGGGCACACGGGGCACACACTTCACGTCCTGTTGGTTCTTTGGGGCGTCGACCCCCCGCGGAGTTGCCGGGTCGTGTGGCGGTTCTGTTGCTGAGGTTTTGAGGATCCGCCGAGCTGTTTTCCGCGGCGGCTGCTCCTTTCACACCCCACCGACCGTGCCCGGGGCCCTCGTTTCTCCACACCCTCGCCGGCACTTACTTCTTCGTCTTTGTGTTTTATTTATTTATTTATTTATTTATTTATTTATTGTTTATTTACATTAAAAGGGAGTGTGTTTGTGTTTTTTTAAATTAAATCCAAGTTAATGGGGCGCCTGGGTGGCTCAGTCGGTTGAGCTTCCGACTGCAGCTCAGGTCATGATCTCACCGCTCATGGGTTCGAGCCCCGCGTCGGGCTCTGTGCTGACAGCTCGGAGCCTGGAGCTGCTTCAGATTCTGTGTCTCCCTCTCTCTCTGCCCCTCCCCTGCTCACGCTCTGTCTCTCTTTCTTAGAAATAAATATTTTTTAAAAATTCAAGTTAGTTAACATAGAGTGGGACAGTAGTGTCAGGAGTAGAATTTAGTGATTCATCTCTTACATAAACACCCACTGCTCATCCCAAGAAGTGCCCTCCTTCGTGCCCATCCCCCATTTACCCCATCTCCCCACCCACAACCCCTCCAGCACCCCTCAGTTCTCTGTATTTAAGGATCTCCTGTGGTTTGTCTCCCGTTCTGTTTTTATCTTATTTTTGCTTCCTTTCCCTTATGTTCCTCTGTTTTGTTTCTTAAATTCCACAGATGAGTGAAATCATGTGATATTCGTCTTTCTCTGACTTCTTTCGCTTCGCATAATACCCTCCAGTTCCATCCACATAGTTGCACATGGCAAGATTTTATTCTCTTTGATTGCCGAGTAATACTCCCTTGTACACACACCACATCTTCATGCTTTCATCCATCGATGTACATTTGGGCTCTTCCCACACTAGGGCTATTGTCGATAGGGCTGCTCTACACATTGGGGTGCATGTGCCCCTTCGACACAG